GGTTAAGGACGCAGATGGGTATGGGGCTGGGGGGTGGGTTTAGGAGTCAATGGCTTAGGGTTTAGGGGGTGAGGGATAGGGAAGAACGGATGATGATGACAATGACTACAAGCATTATACTGAAACTATACTGCCTCTGTTATGGTCATGATGATGATGCTCATCATTACAACTATTAACCGTTACTAATACCAGTACGACCATATGAATCATATGACTATGGATGTTGTCGTTATTTGTAGGGTTTGGGGTTTAGCATTCAGAGTCTGCCGGCTTTTAATGATGCATGAAAGGAGTGCTTCTGGGGTCGGAATGCGGGAGCGACAGTGACAGCAATGGCCAGCTGCACCATGAGCCTTCGAAAAAGACATTTGAGACGGCATGGTTGACTGTGATCTGAGAGATGGAAGATTACTGCGTTGTACGATCAACGATTTGTAAACAAGGTTGCATGCGCAGGGTTACGAGGGGTTCACTGGTTTCTCTATAGGCACACAGACTTGGAATTATGTGAACAGCGCGCGGAAGCCTCGCTAGTGGTGGTGTTCTCAGGTCCTACATCCGCATGCCTAAACTGCCTAAACGGCCTAAACCCTTGCGAAGCAAAACCCACCGTTGAATCCTGTCCTGTATCTGGCAGGACCTCCGATCGCTGCGACTGCAGCCTGTCCACGGACGGAAGTGGATGGAGGACAGTGCCAAGTGGCGTGCAGAGCTTCGTGTGCTTCCATCCTATCGTCCCTACACAACCAGCTTGGACCAGACAAAAGCAGGTTTTGGGCCCATTGGTTGCAAGCGGACGCTTGACCTGCTGGACTGTTCAGTGCTGTCTGCTGCCAAACGAGCCCGGACGAACCTGAAAACTACTGTAGAAAAGCATCTGGCCGAAACTCTGCTGGATGTGTCGCAGAGTCATAGCCGCCGGCCTCTCCCAGCAGCAGGTGCTCCGAACAAATGCCTGACAACCAGAAGCCAGCTGTTCTGGTTTCGGCAACGCAGGCTGCTTTGCGCTTCTGAACATCTGCTGCTTCAGGGATACACTTTGCCCTTCGAAGGCCGTGGTAAGGTCAGCGAGAATGATCTGAGAGAAATCGCAGGGGAAGGGATTGCCCTGCCTTGCCTTGCAACTGTTCTTTGGTCGCTGAAGCTCACTGCCAACTTTCCGTGAAGGTTGGCAAGCTTTTGATGTACAGGCATCAGTGTCTACTGCTAGACTGTCGCGTCCTGACTCGCCTCCTTCCGTTGTTTCGCTCCCCGTAGCCGGACTGCCTGCGTCAAATCAGCTTCTGTGTCGTGAAACATACATGTTTGTGCCCCATGTACACATGACTTTATCCCGTCTAGAGTCTAGGGCCGAGTCTCGGGTCTAAAGTCACCAAGCGTAGGGCGAAGAGCACACGTGTGACAGGTCATGTGTGCACATCGTCATACAGCTAGAGTCCCAGACTCGTTGATCATGTTCGAAAGTATTTCAGGCAATTTAATTCATCGAGGGAGCGGACCAGCGGTCAAACGCGGGTGGCATACTGCCAAGGCACATGCAGACTTGTCCCTGCTCCAGACATCAGATTCTAGCCGTGATGTTATCCCAGTAACTAGACATAGTCTACTATCGCGACGAACAGCGTACATGGTTGTCTGCTCCTGTCCGGCCCACACACAGACAAGTGGCGTCGTGTGCTAACCCGAGGGGAACCTGTGAACTCGCTTGCAAAAAGTGCTGGTCGCCACGCTTCCGTCGAGCTTGCAATACTGCAATGTCCTGGGCAGCCAGTGTTCAGGTGCCATGTCTGAAGGCTTTGTTTTTCTCTTGGATCTGGGACGGGAAATAAACATAGGGGGGTTGTGTCACTCTAGGAAAGTAGGCTGCGCAGACCTGAATTGCCGTTTGATTTTTCGTAGTCCTAGTGTTTCCAACATGTTGCGCACGGCACCTGACCAGCTGTTTGGATGCACGGCTTACAAGGCTGATCAGAGTATTGAAGCTCCAGCAGGCGTGCAGGCCGTGAGCCTGTCCGTGCGATGGGCAAGGGTGCCGGTGGCGGCGGCAAGGGCTCTGCAGCCAAGTCCAAGGTGAAGAAGGAGCCTTTGGACAAGGAGAGAGTCCGGCAGGAGGACCCTCCTCCAGTTTGTGCCGAGTTCCCATGGAATCTAGTTAGAAGCTGTATTTTGGCAGGGCTAGCAAAGCAATAGGCGATTAGGAGAGTTACGTATTTCGTTGTGAAAGTAGCTAATCAGCAGCTAATATGACAGTGGTGATTAGTAACTATACTTATAGTAACTACTGATCGGTGAATCAAACCAGAACATGACCCAGCCGTTCTCTTGTCTGCGCCCGAAGAAAAGTCACAACACCCGTTGTATAGGACGCCCCAAAAACAAGGGTAGCAGCTCGGCCACAGAAGCTCCTGACACGTGCAGCAGAAAGCCCTTGACAGACTTGGTTTTTATTGTTGCAAACCACGAGCAGGCTGCCTTGGCCGTGCCTGCGAGCAGGCCGTCAGTGTCAAGGTCCTCGCGTGTGGAGGGGTGCACTCGCAAGATTTGTGGTTTGTGCCTGAAAAGCTGGAAAGCGACATGGCCTACAGTTCCGAGGAAACTTTTTGGGCTCAGTGCCACCTACGACAGACTGGTTTCAAATAAACTCAATAAACCTGTGCCGCGAGCGAATAATTAGCTCGGCAGCCTTCCCGACTAAGGTAGTTCAGTTTCCAACCGACAAAGAGGGCAACCCCACTGGGCCTGGCTGTGTCACTTGCGTGAGGGTGGTCTTCGAGCTGAACCCCAACCTTCCCTTCACCAAGGCCTGTTCTCAGTACCATGATGTGGAGGCGTTTCCGGTGTTCAAGCCCGCCGTGGATGCGGCCAGGATTGCTTTCACTGCTCGCAACGCTCAGGCAGAGTCCACAGGCATTCCGTCGATCGAGGTTCCCTCTAGTGCATCACGTGCTACGGAGTTGAGTGCCCTGCTGCAACTTCGGAGACCGGTTGATTTTCCCGTGTGGATCCCACTGTTGACCTTGTGTGGGTTCATGTAGGAAAGCATCGGGCTGAGTGACTTATGATTCTGGGTTTCGGCCTGTGCTTGCGACCCCCCGAACCCCCCAGCCCACACTCTCCTAGGTCAGGAGCTGGTTCAAGAATTCGGAGCACCGACTGAGAAGGAAGTGAATCGACTGTTCGGGGGTCTGACCTCTGGCCAATTGGGCTTGCAGCGCCTCGAAGTCACAGACGAATGCAATCGTCAGCTCACGGTGTACCCTGTGGATTTGTTCGGCGTGCCTGAAAGGAAGCTGCGGGGGATGAGGATACTTCGCCTGTCCAGCAAAGTGCGAGTTGAGCGTGCTGAACACTTCCTCCAGCCGAGCACACAGATTCATGCAAACCAGGGATCGCCGTGGCTGTCCTACCTTGCAAGTCAACTGGTGGCTCAGCGCTCCGAGGAGAGGGCGGGAAAGAGGGGCCTCATTTCCCCGAAAAGCTTCGAGGACTTGGAAGCCCGGGCCGCGGAACTGCGGGGAGAGCTTGCCGACCAACAGCTTGTCTTCGAGGAAGAGCAGGCCGAGGCGAAACACGATGATAATGGCGATGATGAGCCGACAGTCGACCTTGATCGGGATCCGGCTGCTGTGGACCCAGCGGAGCAAGCAGGCGAAGCACGCGAGCAAGCTTTTCTTGAAGATGCCAAGCCGATGAAGAAAACGAGGGTGGAGGATCCGACTGCTGCAATGCGGAGGGCTGCCGGTGAAGGACCGGCAGATGGCCAGCCGAGCAACCGCAAAAGAGGTGGGTTGGGACACTTCAAACCCAGGGCAGACGGCAAGAAGGCTAAGCTCGAGGCAAACGAGGATGAGCCCGAGGATGCGGATGCTGAAGGTGGCGATGCTGCCAATCAGGAGACATGGGAGAGCTTCGAGAAGCGCGACAAGGAGATGTACGATGTTGCGATGAAGCATTACGACTTGACCGGGAAATTTTCGGGCTGCTTCCACTTCCTCAGTGTGGGTGGCTTCCTGCAGAACAAGAAGCTCGGGCAGGTCTTGAACGGCGTGCTCTGCCTTGTTTGGGCGATGTGTGTGTGTGTGTGCGTGGTCACCGTCTGTCTTTGCTAGCTTCTTACCAACTTCTCCGCATAGTTCGTGTGTGTGCTTGCCGAGGCCCGTCGAGCAAGCAAGGTCTTGGGGGAAACCGACGAGCGAGCCGCCTTAGATGATCGCGTGGCCGCATGCGAAGCTGCCACACAGATAGCAACCAAACTGGCGCCAATGAGCTATATGAAGCTGACGGAGAATCTGGTGCTGCTGGAGCCCTTCGTGGAGGAATTTCCGCTGGCCTTGTCCCTGCGCGTGACTGAGAAGTTGTTCCACGAAGAGCTGTCCGCTGTTCTGTGTGGCAGTTCACGAATCGATGCTGGGGAGGTTCCCAAACACATCGCCCGCTTGATTAACTCGCTTCAGCTGTGGGATCCGGAAGTGGCTAGCTGTGCAGAAGACTCTGGCATGCAGCCCGGGGAACCCAGTTTCCTGCCAGCTGCTGCAAGGCTAGGCCAGCGTCTATCCGACAATGGCGGTGCGGATGATGACGTCGACGAGCTTGCTTTCAAGAAGCTGATGGCCAAGCAGCGTGCGTTGGAGCGACGCTCTTCCAATGACTCTGCATCTGGTTCCGAGCAGAATCATCAGCCGGATGAGTCCCAGCGGCTGCAGGCAGACATTGAGGCGGGCCGGCGGGGCAGAGCGTGAATACATAGTCTTAGTCTTGTAGTCACCGTCCCTTCCCCGCTAGAATAGACGAGTACTGCAGTAAAACACACACCTTGCAAATGGTCCCATTACTGACTACTAAGACTAAGACTATAGTGACTATAGTATTCTATAAGGATCAACAGAGGCGTCGGAATAGTAGTTGTGCTGGGGCCCATGTGCCAAAAATGCCGTTGTTTTCATGTGTGCCTGCAGGCATTCAGAAAGAGCTTGGAAAGCGTTCTCCATTGCAGCGTCATGACGAAGCTGCTCAACCATGTAGCTGACGAGAAGATGTTGGAGAACCTCACGAAGTGGGTGAAGGCTTTCATGGAGGCCGTTGAGTCAGAGTGGGCACGACAGTGGATGGCGAAAGATGCTCTTGGCCAGCACCTTTCAGGGCCCTTCGAATCAGCAGGGCGATTCTGCAAGGCTGTTGCGTTCTTGTTCCAGATACCGGTTGCAGGGCACCCCGCGATGGAGGACGTTGCGTACTTCATGGACTACACCGGGCCAGTTGTCTGGCGGAAGTCAATCAAAGGGATTCTGAAGAATCCAGAACCCGACGGCCCCAATCATTCGGAGATCAAGCACAAATCGAGGGAGCTTCTGAAAAGATTGTATCAGGATGCTGTGCGTACGGCAGCAACAGAAGGACCTGCCAAACAGGTTCTTCAGACCTTGCAGGCTGCGCTCAAGTCTGGTGCCTCGGAACTTCGGCCGAATTGCTGTCAGCCTTTGGGAGAAGTTCTCAACCAAATGGGGGAGCTGGAAAAGAAGCTCCGCAAGGGTGGCAGCCAGGAGCTGCAGCAGGCGGCGATTGCCTTTACGAAAGACTTGACCGAGAAGGTGTCCTTTGTGCACTAAGCAGCCGGATTGCTTACTTTCATGCTTGGCGTGTAATTGTTCGAATTTGTTGGTTGCTTGTGTCGGTGTGGCGTTGCCGTCAGGTGCTCGAAGAAACAGCACCGTCGATCCTCGGCCAGGACGTGGACGTCCTGCTCCAGTCGCTGAAGGTATTCTCCGCTGCGAAGAAGGAGTTCCCTACATTGCGGACACAGCTGACAGCTTGGGCAACGGCGCACAACACTGCCATGGCTTCGCAGGAGGTGGAGCTCGAGCTGAAGCAGTTTGTCGCTGAAGCCCAGAAGCAGGAGGCTTTGACAAAGGTGATGTTTGATGCACACAAGATCAAGGATCTGCTGGGCAAGATCTCGAAGCCACTTCAGGGAACTTTGCGCGAGGAAATGGTGAAAGCATTTCCCTACCTCTTGGAGCAAGTGCTTCAAAAGGTCAGGCCAAAAGAACCGTTCTGCTGTCATCATGCGTAGTAAGAAAGGAGAAATAACCCTCTAAGCTCCATCTTTCTGTTGATAGGTAGTCGGGGGCGAGCCGACGTCGACGGCCCTGCTGGCCAGCCTTGCTGTGATGACAAAAATGGCTACTTGGACAGAGCACCCGCACGAGGCACTTGCCTCATTGCAGGTGAAGGGCTTGAAGAGCCACATGCTCTTTATGTCCCTTGTTGCCGATCTTGAGGGTCTTGGGCGGGATACTCAGTCGAGATTGAGGAAGGACTCAAAGTTCAAGATGCTCCGGGAGGTGAGCAACCACGAGAGCCAGTGCAAGAAGATCTTCGAAGAGATTGGGCAATGGGAGGCAGCAAATGCTGAGTCCATGACGAGTCTTGGGGACATGACCCCGGACCTCATTGCGCCCGAGGACAAGATTGTCCTGATTGACATCGTGAAGAGGATCCAGAACCGCGCGCCGTGCGAAAGAGATACGGTCTACACCGATTGTGTGCAGCAGCAATCCGCTGAGTACAGCAACCTCTTGCGAACGGCAAACCACAGCATGCAGAAGGTGTCACGGTCATTCTATGCCGGCGGTGCTAGTTGCTGGAAAATCACCTTGGGCGAGAATTCCGACCTGACCGCAGTATTGGCCAGGGCATCGTCAACGTTGCTTCAGATTCCCATGGAGACTATGAAGCACGAGATTCAAGCGGCTGAGAAGGCAAAGCATCATCAGCGAAGTTAAGTTTGACCGGCAGCTAGACTTTGTTACAGAAGTGCAATCTCCATCATGTTCAGTTCAGAAGACTAGACCCTCCATCCGCACTGAGACTGCTAACTACCAGGCAACCCCCAAGAGCCCGGAACATCGCAGGTGCGCAACAACGTGTCCGACTTCCTGGACTTCACATGCCATGACACGCCGGCCAGGCAGGCATTGCAAGCGCACCTGACTGAGCATGATTCTTTGCTGAATTCTGTTCGAGTTCAATACGCAGAGTCAGCCCTATCGTACAGTTTGCGAAATCTTTCCGGTGGCTCAGACAAGAGCCCTGCGGTGATGAAACAGATTATCACCGAGCACATCACGAAGTTGAACCAGAAAATGCCGCCGGCGGGTGAATCAAACATTCACCCTGTTTTGCTCAGTGCTGCCAAGCAGCACATGTGAGCTCGGCATGTTGTGCTGCGCAGGGCAGGCCAGCCTACCTACTAGCTACGAGGACTGCTACAAACTGTAGGTGATAGCTGCTTCTTGCTCCGTCGACGAGGTGCCAACCACTAGCTATGCTACTTCTTTTCTACCGGTAGTTTTAGCTACGAACTACTAACTAGTACCTGCCAACTAGTATTGTCGTTGCATGAAGAAGTGCATTGATGAATCCAATGTGCCGCGCGGCATCATGTTTTCCACCGCCGCTGCAGCCGTTGCTTGGCCAGCCCGTGCAGACACACAGACCCAACAAAGACTCGACCAGCAAGCGTCGCGAAAACGATGGAAGGTGCTGGGATCCGAATGCTAATGAATTATCACTCCGTTATTTCACTCGGAAATCACTCTTTGCTCAACTTTACTTGCACGTCGCAGCCTCAGGATCACATTTCACAATCACTCTTATTTCACTCCGGAATCGGTAAGTGGTGTATTGTTCACTCTTCACAATCACTGTTATTTCACTCCGGAATCAGCAAATAATTCTTTTATGATTCCCAATGCCTGCCTGCCAGCGGCACTCTTAAATATATACATGCACATATACATACACACAGACATGCATACCTCCATCCATCGTACGTACATGGTTACTTACATGCGGACTTGCCTACAGGTTGTATGCATGTATGTATGCATGTATGTATGTATGCATGCATGCATGTGATTGTGTATGCATGCATGAACGCATGCACGAAGCATGGAATGCAGCTAACCTTGCCAAAGACTTCGATGCGCTACTTAAGTGATCCACATGGCCTGAGTGTGCCCAGGCGAAGCTCCTCTCCCAAACCACTGCAGCATCAAACCACTGCAGCATGACAGAAGCAAAGGATGCAAGTCACCTTCGGCTCTGTGGTGGACTCAGATGGGTCTGCTCTTAAGTTCGAATCCCTCTTGGAAGTTCCTCCTGTGCGAGGAACTGCCTTGAAAGGAATTTCGATTTAGAACAGCCCTCCGACAGGTCTGGCAGAGAAGTGCCAGTTGAAATGGGCTCGCTTTGCGAAGCCTTGTTAATCGCAGCTAATCCAACACATGCACGGCTCAGCCGACACTGCAACAAAGCTTTGCAAACGTCCCGGAATCTACACGTGCAGACGTGCAGCATGAAGGCTATTAAGCCCCAAAGCCTGAAACTCATCGACACTGAGTCGGTTGTAAAGCAAAGGACAAAGACGGGTCGACCTGATTGAAGAGGGTTTAACATCCTGGGTGACTTTCACGCACTCAACCGCGATGGCCTGAATCATACTGACAAAAGTTAAACCAGCGGTGAAGTCAAAAGAGAGAGAGAGAGAGAGCATGATACACTCAAGGATAAAAATAAGCACCCGACCGTGGATGTGATGACGATGAACGTGAATGTCATGCACATGGAAGGCTGCTGCTAACTGCGAAACCGACACATGGAAATGGGCATCCCTGTCGCGTGTTCTAAGCTGGCGATGTCGTGATGGCAGAAACACCGTTGATGTACTACGACCACGACGACGGCGACGACGACTACCTCTACAGCTGCTGCTACTACCACCTGCTACTAGGTAAGACTGATACTACTACCGCCATCACCACAACCACCACCACATCGACCACCACTACCATTACTACCACGACAATCACTACTTACTACTACTACTACTACTACTACTACTACTACTACTACAACTGCTACTGCACCTACTACTACTACTACTACTACTACTACTACTACTACGACTACGACTACGACTACTACTACTACTACTACTACTAATACTCCTGCTGCTGCTACTACTACTACTACTACTACTACTACTACTGC